TTAAATCCAGATTAACGGGATTGAACATTTAGATAAATTAGTAAGAGAAAAAGGGTGTTTATTCACAATACAATTATGATGTGTTAAATTTTGTTATGTTTTCTGTGTATTAGTAACAGATTGTTAGAGGTTACATATTACCCGAGTTGTAAATTTTTGACCCGGTTGAACCGTTTTGACACGGGTGACCCGGTTTACTATAACCCGGTTCTAAGCTCTAATTTTTAATCGACTACAATCACTACGAGGTACTCCTATTTTCTTCTTCGCCACGATCAGAACTAGGGCTATCAACAGATGAAACAAGATTACGATGATGTGACTGCTCGGCAGGCCCCGTAGGCGGTGCGTTAGGTCGGAAAGATGGTCGCATCCTATGAGAATACGGTGCGTCTGGGGGTGGTGAATGTTCCCAATCATGGAAATCGGATCTATTACCATGCATTGGGCCAGTTGGCGGTCGTCCTGCAAATCCAGGACGAAACGTTTGTGTATTACGGTTTTCCATTTCCCACGCTATTAATGAATTTTGCATGTCAACAATTTTTAAAAATTATCCGTTATGAGTCGTCCACAAATAATGTCGTATCAGAGAAGGAATTTAAAAGTCCATAATAAAGCTTAATAATAAGGTTACTATTTGGGGGGAGGAGGTAATAAGTCTATATATGTCTTTCGATAACATTATTTATGGACAGACCCTTACGTGTACATCATCTTAAATGTTTGAAATACGTAATATTTAATGGTACATACATTGATCATCCATAGAAAAGAATGGTCTAAACAAAAACAGACAGACGCATCAATTATGGCTGTTTAATGTTATTCAAATTACAATAATGATATTACCTTTCGTCCATTGCAATCCCACGTCCACGGCCAACCATTCCCGCAGGCATTCCGGGCATCCCTCGTGGCATTCCGGGCATCCCACCAGGCATACCACCAGGCATTGTTGGTGGCATACGTGTTGCCATACCGGGCATCCCTCCCGGCATTCCTGTAGGACGCATCATTCTACGCATAGGTTGGCCACCTTGATATGTTGGATCAAATCCCATCGGACCAGTTGGTGGCATTTCTGGATTTCCCATAAAAAATGGTGGCGGAGGTCCCATTTGCATATCCTTATTGTGAATAAGATAGTGTATTCATTCTATCAGATACCATAATCTGAAATAAACTTATGATTTAATAAATTACCGGTGGAGGAAACATTCTCATTCCCATCGGTGGACCTAGAAAGAATTTTAGTTAATAAAAATTAACATATATATATGCGTATATGAAAAACCTAGCGTTCCATATGGACCGAATCAACCATTCTAGTATCACCAGACTAAAAAATTTTGCTATCCGATCAAACAAATTTCAAGATAAAGTGTAACATAAAATCAAAACAACAATACTAACACTAAGCAAAATTTTTTAGGTTGGTGACGCTAGAGTCCTAGACCGAGTCAGACGTATTTTTTAAAGACGTGTATCCAATCCGAGAAACCGGATTGGGTCCAAGTGTAGATCCGAAAACCAAAAAATTCGATCCGAATTCAGATCCGTATATTTACAGGTGCTTTCATAAATTCCGGAACATCTAAAAATTTGCTCGTTTCCCGAAACCTTTTCGATTTCATTCGAAGAGTCACCTAACTACTTCGCTGTCCTTGGAACCTCGATATAGAGACAGCAACGTAGTTTCCGGAAAGTTAGGTGGCTCTTAAAAATGAAATCGAAGAAATTTCGGAAAACGAGCAAAATTTTTAGGTCCCAGAATTTATGAAAACAGCTGTAAATAAATATTTAAACTTATAACAGATCGGGGCAGGCTCGGATTCGGGTCCGATTCTTTGTGGAACACTAGAAAAACTAATAAAGAACACGAAAATTATATAAACCTTGAAAATCATGCGGGTATCCATTGGAGTCCATACCGTAATCTTCATTTTGAGGTCCATCCATTGTTGGCGGTGGACTAAGTTAAATTTTTAATAATGAAGTTGAATATTAGTTTTTGTCAAGCTAATCTTACAGATTATTTCCAAGTCTTATGCTGCTTACATTGGTTCCAATTCTTCCAAAGCAGCCTCTCTTTCACTAGACACAACTTGGATTACAGAATCGTCTTGATCCCTCCCACGGCGTCCTATAAAGCCTTTTTATCAGAATGTAGCAACATAATTGCTTATACTAATAAAATATACTAAATAACCACCTCTTCCTCGTTGCTGTTGGAATCTCGGATGATCTAACCCTGATTGCGGTTGACTAATAGATTGTAGTTCTGGCGGCAAACTGTTTACTTCTTGTTTAGATTCATATACCTAAATGAAAAAAAATATATACAAAGTTTTAAATAAACGAAAGAATAGTTTATCAATTTTTACATGTCATACATGAATTTTCTTTCGCGAATGTTGATCTTCTCGCATTTGTTTTTGCTTCGCACAATAAGCCTTCCACGTATACTCATTGAAACCATAATTGAAATAATCCGTTATATCAGCCCCTGTTTATAATACAGAAAATTTAGATCAGGCTATGATTAATGTGAGCACATACGAATTACTAAATTATTACCTGGTTTTCTCCAAGGTTTATCTTCGACTGAATCCAAATCGACATCATATATACTGGTTCCATCGAGTGACCCAACAGCATTTAAATCCACCCCCGGTGTTCGATTTGATGCTTGTCCACCTTCTACTTATACCGAATATTGCAGGTTTTATGTATAAATAAAATGATAATTAAATAACCAAATTTTTACTAACAATGAATTTACCATGTCGCTGTTGCATAATTTGTTTATTAAAGGAGTTAGGTTTAATATTGACTAATGAGTTTCTTTACGAAAGAATTATAACCCAGTCAGCTAATAAGAACTACATTAGAAGAAATTTATTGCAAAAATAAAATTTTTATTCATTACCTAGTGCTGTTATCCGTTGATTTGTTAGTCGTTGACGGTACATCCATAATAATTTCTATATCCTAAAAAAGATATAGCATACAAACGTCACAAAAAAAATAAATAAAAAAATAAATAAAAAAATAAGGAAGTTAGAATCATTACTGATTCACTATCGTCTTCATATTCTTCTTCTTCTTCCTCCTCCTCCTCTTCATCTTCATCTTTAACTAACGGATCCGGCTCTTCAATTAATTCATGGTCATGGTGCTCTAAATTCCCATTTTCCCCAGACGTATCTAAAGGGTCAACATCATGCATATCTGTAGGATACACTTGTCCAAGTTCATTGTCATCTTCATTTTGTCTTGTTTAAATATTTAATGTAATATCAATTTATAACATAAGAATAAGCCTAGATGACGTATAAAGACAGACATGTTTTAAAGTTTACCAAATAGATAAATTGACACATACATTAAAGACGAATCTATCCCTGTCTGTTCTGTGTCCACATTCATATTATTGATATCATTACTTCTCCAAAGTTTATGATATAGAAATATTAGACGCATAATCCAAACAGTTCAATTGATGAATTAAGACCCCTTTCATTTTCAAAACACTCCACCAGAATACTTTATTTTCACGTACTTTGGTTCTTCCCCATATAAATCAAAGAGGTCGTCGTCTAATTAAGACCATATATATATTTTGTGAAGATCCATAACATGTAAAACAATCAAAAAAGGAATGAAAAAGAAAAAAAAAGATCAAGACATAGTCAAGAGGGAAAACAGTTATTTTTTATTGGAATGTTTTTTTGTGACGTTTGTATGCTATATCTTTTTTAGGATATAGAAATTATTATGG